CTTCGGGCAGAGAGTTAAAGGAGTTTCGGAGAAATTGAGTGATTCAAAAATTCGCCATTCTCTTCTCTGACAGTTCCCTGGATTCGAGGTGTCCCTCGTCTCTGGCACAGCTGGGCAGCAGGCTGGGGAGGAAAGCAGCCCTGGTTTTATTGTCTTTCAAATGCCTAGGGCTGCTGATGTTAGGTGCTATAAGTGTAGGTTTTTTGAGAGGAGTTTTGTAGGTGAGGAAGAAGCATCGCTATCAGGTGAAGGAGGGGTAGTACTTTGACCTCTTGGCACACAGGACAGGCTGAGGAGAAGGAATAAGACTGACAAAGAAAATCCTCTTAATCTGGGCAATGTCGTCTTGTCATCGTCAGTTTGGTGGTTACATAGCTGCAAGCCTACTGCTGCCTGCTTTGCAAGGAACAGATCATTGATGACAAGGCATGGCAAAGTGCAGCATGCTTAGGGCTTTGAGGTGCTGACAAGCTGATACCGCCCAGAATAACTGCAGGGAGCATGGTCGTGTCCAACACGAGGTACAGTTTTAAGAACTGAAAAAAACTGTTATCCCGCACGTCACCCTTGAAGACAACCTGCGGCATACATGCTGAAACCTAAAATTCCCTCGCTTTCTGCCTCCCCAGCAGCTGCATACATGCATTCAGCTTCTCCTTAGTGTGAGCCACGAGGTGAGAATCAGTGTAGCACAGGGATCAGAAGAGCTTTGGGGTTCCCTTAGGCCAGCTGGATGTGCAGCAGTCCTGTGCCTTTCGACCTGAGAAGTGCTGGAGCACCTGGGTGGCTGTGCTGGGTAGGGCAAAGGGGTGGAGCAGGCATACTGTTAAGACGTATAGATCTCTCGCAAGACTGAGAGCAGAGGCAATTTCGTGGGTCAGAGAGAGTGTGGGGCTGAGGTAAGAGAATGCAAGAGCACACTCACTATGTGGCTGCTAAGCAGGGAGCAAGAAAAGATTTTACTGTTCGTGGCTGGAGGGATGGAGCGAGGAGTGATGGATCAGGTAGAGAAGAATCTGGTTGGGCTGTGGGGTAATTGTACAATATACCCAGAGCTTGCAATTTACCCCAGCCCAGATTGGAAATGTTCTGGTATTCTTCAGTAGTGCTTACAAGCATCTGATAGTCACCGTGCTGGGCACCTGACTCACTGCCCAGAGCACTGACAATTTGCCCCCTCCTGTTTGTCATACACACCTGCAGATTTAATACTTTTTCTTCTGGAGAATACAGCACTTTCCTGTCCTGTGAAATAATGCTTCTCTTCTGCCATTCTCATGGAGATGTGCTGTGATGATATCACTTCCTAGTGAGGGGCTGGTGAATCACTTTGTTGGTGTTCATGAATCACTTCTTTGCTACCAGTTTCTGCACTGGTCTTAATATAATTTCCAAAAGCAAAAATCATCATTTCAGAGACCTTTTACTTTTTGTTAAAGAGACAATACTGGAATTATCTCGTTGCATAACGTACTGAACCCAAGCTCCCAGCATGCTGCAGAAGAGCTCTCCCAAATCTATTTGTGTAGCTGAAGGTATTGCCACCTATCCAATCGACCCCCTCCCCGGCAGTGGAGAGCTTGCTCGCATCTGGGTGGGGAGAGGGAGCATACATGTTTGTCTCACAGGCTCCGGTGGGTAGTCTGATAACTCAGCTTAAAGTTTAAAGCTCTGCTGTGGGTCTGATAACCTCTTGCACGGGAGCAGAAGCGTTCTGAGCTGTCATGGCTAGGTGTGCAAAGGCTTTTCTGCTAGTTGAGATCCTCCGATATTTTATTGCCTGCCTAGGAAGTGTAACTGGTTGTTCGCCTCCATCAGCTTTGCACCTCAAGTGGTGTGAAGAAGGCAGGAAGCAGGAGTAAGTAGGTCCCTCGGAATTTCCTTGTCCAAGGGAAGAACAGACAGCAGGCTGTGTGGTTGTATTGAGGCAATGTCAAAGGTCTTTGACATGCATCTTCTTATGCATTGGCACAGGACTTTTTCCTGGGGAAAAAGGAGCTGCGCATGGTGTGAATACGATCTTGTAAGGGTAAAGGCACTTGTCGTTTATTCTTGGCAAAGCCTGAGGCTGCTTTAAATCATCTTTATGACAACACTAATCTTCTGGCAACCGAAGGGTCAGGGAATTGCACGGGAAGCGCAGAGGCACCTTTGCCCATTACCTTGTTTGATGGGCCAAGCGTCCCTCCATCACAAAGATCCAACCCGTTTCTCCGACCAAGCACAGCACGTGCTCCGGCAAGCCCCCCGCTGCCCTCGGAGGGTACTTCCCTGTTGTTTTGTCTTGACCATTACGCCTTTCCCTTTCTCTGTGACACATTGCACGTTGCCAGCTGGTATTTGTAACATGTTCAGTAGAATTTTAAAATGAAACTTCTTTGGAGGAGGTCGGCGTGCCATGGGGGACATGGCCCGCGTGTGGGCAGCATCTGACAGATTCCTGTCACTGTTACCCAACAGCCTTGTCAGAAATGACAGCACCTGCCTGTGGACTGCCCTAACGCAGCGATACTAGCCAAATGGGAAGTGTTGATTGTATTGTTTGCCCTGTGTGTTCATATTCATAGTCCCTCCCCACTATGAGAGGCGCAGTGTAAATGTCTGGATGGATAGTTACATGTGTTAGGATAATGATAGCAGATACCATTCAGTTCTGAGCAGCCGATGTGTAATTATTGTAATACAAAAGCAGCACAGAAGATTGCTTAAGAGTTTTTCAGTTATCAGTGAGTTTTCTGCACATAGGCAGATAAGGAGGTAACCTGTCTAAAAGATTTCTCATTCCAGAATTAGTGCCAAGGATCAGATGTTCCTGACCCCATTGCTGGGAAGCTCTGTTCTCACATTTACAGTGTGCCTACATGCTGGAGATTTTCCAACTTCATTTCTCTTTTGTGATGGATGGAATCACTTTAAATCTGTTTTTTTATATTGAAAGGTTATTTGACTTTTTCTACCCATGTTGCAGCCGTTAGTGTTTCATGTATGTTATTAGCACTCTGTAGCAGAATGCTGGTTTGTGCCCAATAGGGATTCTCAAAATAGCCATTGCTTCACCCTCTCTCTAAGCTTGTCTGCAGTCCAAGCTGCTTAATTTTCCATGTGGTCCACTGTCAGCCTCCCATTGTAAATTATCTGCCCTTGTAACCCACAGCCTGATTTTTCTTACTCTGTTCAGTGGAACTACTGACCATTGAGTTTAGCGAATCAAGTTGGTGTTAAGAGAATACCTGTGAGAATTTCCTAGTTGCACGGCTTGTAATTATTTTGTAAGTTTTGTAAGGCTGATTGGTTCCCTGCTGCCCTGATCTCAAATGCGTGACCTTGGAAATTGGTTGATTTGAACGTAACTTTTTTTTCATTTACAGTCCCCAGAGGATTGTAATTGCAGCGTTGCCTTGTGACTGTGCTGAATTAAGAATCAGAGCCCAGCTGAAATTCCCGGACCAAAGGATACAATGGCTACTAGTAACCTTGGTGCCGTTTTTATGCTTTTTTTCTAAACAATAACTTTTTGCATTGTATGTGGTCAGTGTTTTTGGAAAAAAAAAAAAGTTATTTCTTAGGTACCTATTAACATTTAAGAAAATAGTGGGTCCTCTTCCCTCTTATGTGCACTGCTTCTCCTTCCATATGCTTCAGTGTTGTAAACTGATCATCTCTTTCCATTGTTATGGGAAAACATTTAAATAGCACACCATTTTATAGACAAAGGAAGGAAAAATCCAATAACTTTGTACTCTGCCTGTAGGAGCTCTCAGTCTAAGTATAGCAAAATTAGCAACTATGAAATGTAGGCCAACAGCTAAGGAGAAGAAGGGAGCGAAGTTACAGATGCTAAATAAAGACAGGATGAGATTGTTCAAAGAGGCAGGAGGAAGGACAGAGGATACTTGTCAAGAGAGACCCAATGATATGGGTCAGCTTTACTCCCATTGAATCTGAGTGTTACCCGAGATTTATGGAGATACGACATCCAAAGCCCTCCCAGGGAGAGAGATCTTAGCCCAGAGGGCAGCATGGGGTAAGGCTGAAAGCACGGAGAAGAAAAGGAGACACACAAGAACAAAAGGAATAAGAAAAGTAGAGGGAGCGAGAGAATTAGTAGGGAGGAAGAAAGGCAGAGGGGTTGGGAGCAGCCTGGGATAGGACTGTGTAAATGTGAACTGGGGTCTTGAGCAAAGTCCAAGGGAGTTTTCCCAAAAATAACAGTGGTCTCAAGCTCAGCACAAGAACTTGATTTATGTTGAAATGAAAGAAAAGAGAATTACAGCAATTCCACTGTGTGTTAGATCTGCATTTGGAATTTCAAGCTTTGTTTTGCCTCCGGAGTCCTCAGTCTTGCACAGTCCCGTTACAGCAGTGGTGGGCAATGCAGGTATTAGTGAGAGTGAGCTCCTACCCTCGGGCAGCTGCACCGGTCACGTGCATTTTTAGTAAAGGCTGTCCCCAGAGTGAAGGTTAGCTGGTGGAACTAACAACAGAGGCTTTTCGGAAAGCAACACTGACTTTGCCATAGGCAGGACCCGGTGGCACTTTCCCCAGCCAGGCACTGGGGCTGTGTGTGGAGAGCTCTGTTTGATGAAATCTGGGGCAGCTGAAGGGTACCTGTGCAACATGGGGAAATACTGGTGCACGCTGAAACTTCCCTAAAGAGCTCTGATTAGAAGATGCAAATGTGATGCTTTAAAAAAGGTAACTTACTGACAGAAGAAAAACTAGTAATGAGCTGAACAATTAGCTTATCTTTCACCTTTCTAGATACTTTAACAGCTAAAGATGTAAAATTAATCTAGAAGACGTTGGAGCATTAATTTGAGGCTGTTAAATTCTTCCCGATCAATTTATGATGTTCTTCTGGAGGAAGAGTGTCTTATTTCAAGTTAGTCTTACCCTCACTTTATTATTGTTATTGGTCAAATTAATTGCTATCTTTGTCAGAGATCACAAACCCTCCACAAATGTGATTGTATTTACTTATGTGTTTTCATTTCTTGAAAGGTGAAGATGTATTAAAAAATAAAGGAACTTTGATGGCAGTTTGTTGGAGTGAGGAATCAAAACTGGATTTTCAGCACATCTTAGTAACGTACGTGAATCTGTAGCACGTACCTGAAATTTTATATGTGTTTTAAGGTTTTCTTTTGTTCCACTGCCGTCTTTTCCTCTCTCTTCCCAGTCATCATTTAAAAAATGTCAGAGGAACCACAACTGAGCATTTCTTCTGTTCCCACCTGTGCTTTGGGATGCGAAAGAATAACATTAGCACACAGAGACCTTGACTTCCTCTTGGATGCATCTGGATGGTTTTATTAGGCAGTCCACTGAGCCTGTGATCAGTCTGAGAGCAGCTGATGATCAGCATCGCCAAGATATGGTACTGGGCTGCTGATCAATTTTGTGTCTTTCAGAAGACTTGAAAAATTAGATTCATGAAACATCACTCTCATAAAGCACAGCCTCACCATGAGAACATGAGGGCAGCCACAACTGTAGAAAGTATCTTCACCAGCAACCTTTCACCCTCTGACAAATCTTTTCTTCTTGAAGGTAACTGTGGGTGGTCTTCCTTTGTCTAATTTCTGTAAATTCGGTACATCACTTTCTAGTTATGCAGCTGATACTCGCGTTTATATGAATGGCTATTTAAAAAAGGAAAGATCAGATGTTTGTTGTTTCATTTCAACATAAATCAAACTTTGTACTCACATAGCAATTCTAGTTTAGCCCCAGGAATAGCTTTAGTATTGCTAAGTGTCTGGAGAGTATTGACTACAGAGACATGATTTTAAGCAGGCTATAATAGTTTCTACAGCTGTTAACAGTTCACAGAAGAAAGGCAGTATTATTCATCAGTGTTTAAAATGTGCATGACTTGCATTGCACAGAAGTCAGATTGGGAGAATGTCAGAATTTTTTTTCTGAAATTCTGCCAGGAAAGTCTTCAATAACTGGAGAAATTCTTTTCACTGGTGAAATCAACATGCAGCACATTGTGTTATTATAATTGCTTATAGCTCACCATGAAAGTTGTCTTTGTATGCGTGGATGTACGGCTTGTACTGTTTTGTTTTTATTTATTCTGCATTCTTTATTATAATGTTCTTTCCTTTTTTCCAGACCAGAAAGATTGTTATTGAGCCTTCCACAAAGCTGAAATAATGCTGTGTGTTAAAAAAATGTTAACAATTTGAAGAAGTTATAAAAATTTATAAGTTGACTGAATACTTTGGAAATTTCTGCATATTTTAATATAAATAGGTAATGCAAATGTTTGTTCTTTGCATTTAGAGGTGGGTCTCTGTTTTCTAAAGGTCTTGTATATAAATTTGATTCTTACAATTACATTAGAACAAACCCAGTATTTTTTCAGATTGCATAATAGGAAAAATATATTCGCAAAAGACACAGAACATACACGGTTATCTCTGAATGTCATATAGTCATGAAATTTAACATAAATAGTATCAGTTGTTTGAATGACTTCATTAAGTGCATTTAGGGGACTGCCTGTTGCAGTCAGCTGAGGTCCTTCCATTCAGTTCTGTGGTCCTGGGTTGGCCCACAAAGAAAAAGACCATGCTGCAGCTAACTGAGAAATAAGAGGAGATGATTTCTCTATAGATAGCGTGAAGTTCCAGATTGCGCTGGTAGAACTTGCATAGAAATTCAGTCACATAAAATCAAAGAAATCACAGAAGACGAAGGAGTTATTTCAGATGAATTTGGTGTTAGCGATGAGTTCGAGCTTTAGTCGTAACTAAAATCATAAAACAGAACAAGAGAGTCCAAAAGAAAGAAAGGAAGAGTAGAAATAGGTGAAAGGGAAGAGGTGAGTGACAGAATACTGGCAGGTGAGCAGGGACCTAAATGATGACAGACAGTTTTAACAAAGACCAGTCCAAGACGGCAACAGTTCAAATGTTATGATCCACTGGAGGTGCTGGCTGGGTAAATATCTGAAAAGACAGGCACGAAGCTGCTTTTTTGGGAGGGTGGAGAGGAGCAATGTGAGTTTTGGGTGGTTGTACAGAGTAGAAAGGGCTTGTTAAGTTTCCCTGAAGGAGAACGAATGTCTGACACTCTAAGGCAATTTCTCCACAAGCAAGTATAGTAGCAACTAGGAGTGGACCTGGAGAGCTGCAGCTCTAGTGAGGTCCCCTGGACTGCATCCTGCGTGCAGCTAGTGTCCTTTGCCTGTGCTGCCGGGGTACCTCTTCCTGGTCTGAAAGGAATCCAGTCTGTGCGCTCGGGGACTGCTCCGTGATGCAAAGCAAAGCACGGTTAAGTGGGGCATTTGAGGGGCTGGCTTCAAAAGCACACTGCTGCTCCAAACTTGAACACTAATGTCGATGCACCCTGCCAGACTTTGGGGTGGGAGTAGTGACGTGGGACAGGGCGGAGGGAGAACTCAGAATGCAGTAGTTTATGTTACAGATGCTGGCAGCATGTGGAGCTGAGAGCAGTGAAAGCACAAGAGTCCCATGTTTTCGATGCGCGGTTTTTATAGATCTTTTTCTCAAGACATCCTGGAACATGCGTTGCTGTTTTGAAAGGCTTCCTTGCTCGTTGTGACCAGTGCTATGAAATAACATTGCTGCTAGCTGGCAGTTTGCTCTGTAGAAAGCTGCTTATAATTTTCAAAGACTGCTTTCCAAATGGAATCACTATGGTAAATGAACCCTTTTAAATTTAAACTCACAAAACTAAACTCAGTTGAGGAAACAGTGTTGATTCTTCAGTCTTTTGTGAGTCGCTTCCACTGTAACTTTCTCTGGAATCATTCATTTTTGAGTGTTAAAAATGACTGGTTGGTAATGGGGAGTTATCATACATTCAGAGGTATTTCCACGTTCCCTGTCAGTGTGCCACTTCATACTGTATTTATTCTCACAGAGCCTGTTATATAAAAGTACCATTTTACAGAGCGGAGGCACAGAGAGAATAAATGATGTAGATGTCTGTGTAAGGAAATATGTTGCAGAACTGATCTTGGGTTTCCTCGGCTTATGAAGTTTGGCCGCTGGACTAGCTTTCCTCTTGTTCTGCAGCACAGTTATATTCCTTCCTTGCTGCGGCTCTTGATCATCCCATCCAGCACAGCCAAAGAGGCTGCTGCAGATACAGCAACAAGGTGAGTCTGAGCGGTACCAGAAAGCTGATAGGATTCTTAGCTTTAGTGACAGGATTATGTCAAATAATGTGATGATTAGTACCTAAGTATAGCATGTTTACGTATGCCAGTACTTTGAAAACAAGGAAAGCAAAAAATGTATGGACAATAGGTTATTGTCAAGAACTGTTGTCCTTGCTACAAGCAATGGGCATACACAACAGTTTGGTTTTTGAACTTTGCTAAAATGATCTGCTAATAAGATTTTGGCTTATGAAAGACGATGAAATGCATGAGCAGAACACAAACGTCTTCACTAGATCTTGTCAGCAGTTGTGAAGGTAAATTTTAACAATGTTAGGATTTTCCAGGCCTCTTTCAAAATGACTGTGTTGCCTTGCTAAATATGCTGATTGTTGTATGTCTTTGTCCAAGAACAGTTGGCCTTAATTGCTTCTGAGCCATATTTCCTTGGAAGCTTTCAGATAAAAAAAGGCAATCCAGAGAAGTCTGAACGAATCTCTACTTAGAAACTGGTCATGTTCAAGCTGTAAAGTATGTAGAATTTTTTTTCCTGGGGAAAGGCAGAAGAGGGCAATAGGTGCAGGATGTGGAAGGAAGAAGCAGTGCCATGACCCTACAGCATTTCTGCATGTTGAGTCAGGGAGTGACATTTAAACAATTCTCACTGCACCCAATATGAAAAACTATGATGCATATCAAATTGCTGGCCGTGCTGAGAGAGAGATGAGGAGGAAAAGGGTCAAGGCACCTATCCATAGGCAGCCTCTCCTGTGTTTCAGATGTTGGGGGAGCTTACCAGCAAGCCAAATGGGTCTTTAATGTCTTTTTTTTTTTTCTTTCTGTGAGGGAATGCATGGCTTCGGACTTTCCGTCTTTAGAGCTGGTGGTTTCCACACCACAGTGATTCAGCCAGCATGAACTCTTGACCAAATCCCAGTTTGTTTCCTGGTTTTGTTTTTCTAAATTATTTTACATTTAGCAGGGCATAAAGGCCTGCCTACTACGTGACTCTCTAAGAAGGAGAGCCATGCTCTTTTTACTGGTTAGCTCTCAAAGGACAGTTCTCTATACTTCTGAAAATGTTGCAACTGAAACAATTGAAAAGAAATCACTGAATTTTGACTAAAACTAAGACTGAATTCTTACATGCTCCTGGCTTTTTGATGCTGTGTGTTTATGTGGAATTTCCTTTGAGGTTTAATAAGGTCTGATTTTTATTTGAGAAATATGCCCTGCCTGAAATGTTTTAAGGTTTAATCGGTGTGTTCTTGCATAGGAAAGTCATATACATTTGTTTAGTTGCTAGATAAATAGGTTAGTATTGACAGTGATTTTAGGGGATAGTAGGTTGTTAAATTAACGTGAAGGGCCTTGTTCCTTTGCCTTGCTGGATTTTTTCTGATGACTGAGTTCTCTGGGGTGCCCTTTTTAGGGCTGGTGGTTATCCCTGCGATCGTGTAAGTGGTAGGCTCAGTAAGGACTTAGAGTAGCTCGGCTCTGGAGTTTTAAACACCAAGAGAGAGCTGCTAGACAGGAGATCTATAGCCTGGGAAATCTACAAATGAAAGAAATTGTACCCTGAAAATTAAAACCCTAAAATATTCTTTCAAAAGTTTGTACATTTATATAGATACATTAACCCAAATGATACATCATATGAGTAAACAAAATATTGCTGTAATAGGTTTGAGACCTAAGATGGAAACCTATTACAGTTTACCTCTGTGAAAACACAGCTTTACTCCCTTCACACCCTGTGTCTTCTTGTTGTTCAGCAGAGAGAAACATTGGTATGTACAGCTTTATTTCAGAGTCCCCTTCATGCAGTTACCCCCATTGTCTGCTTTCTTTTTTACACTACTCTCCTATATCTCTATAATTTTCTCCCCGTACTCCAGTAATTTGTTGTCTATCTCAGATTCTGCATGGGTTGCCTGAGGCTGTGGGCTGAGGTAAGCTAGTTGTGCGGGGTCGTCCTTCTTTTCAAATACCGGCACTTTTAAAATGGTACAGGGCACCCAAAGTGCGGGACATAGATGTATGGGTATGCTAACAACATTACAGCTGATTAACAAATATTCAGGTCACCGAGTGTTCAGAAACTGCAAAGTGCCTGAACTAAGGTTGTCTTTGCAGTGAAAGTTCAGCCTTGTTCTGCATATGTGCAATGAGGCAAGGTTTCATAACATTATCACGTAGGGTGTTGTTTTACTTTCTAGCACAGCCTTTGAGTAGAGCAAACAGGAGGGAGCTGATGCAGCCACTGCTACGTGCATTGTGACTTGAAGAGTGGCTCTCTGTCCACCTCCACATGGCACTAATACTGTGTCATCTTGGCCATGCATGAGATTGAGTCTGGTCATAGTGGACATGTTGCACGTGGAGCCCATAGGGGAATAAGATCAACGTAACATCCATAATAATCTCTGAAACCTCAGATTTTCACATTTCAGAATGTAAAACACAACCACCTTTTCGCACTCCATTTCCTAATATGACTGGCCCAGTTTGAATGTCTTGTCCTGGAGTGGAAAGCAAGTGCTGTACTCTATGTGGAGGATACTATATGGTATCCCATATTCAAATATATGGTGTTCTTCCTGAACAGGGCAAGATGAAAAGGAAAGAGAAGTTATTTCAGCTAAGTGAATAATTCACACAGAAGAACTTTTCCAAAGCATCCAACCTTCTCTTCTGCTTGCATCATGTTGATGATGCAATTGCTATTCTCTGGTATTTATGTACCTTTCAAATTTCTATTACCTTTTTAACTCCGTGGATTGATGTGAAACAGTGTTTTGTGAACCATTGTTAATCACGGTGTTGGCTTGCTGGGGTGTGGGTGCTCTTATTTTGTTGGTGGTGCTTTCTGTTTGGATGTCTGTTTGTCTGTTTGCATGGACACTTCCAAAATAAACGCTCCTGAACTAATATAAACTTCAGTTTCCCTGAAGACTGTTCTGTGAAGCTCAGACGCTGGCTTTCTTTAAGTGCATTTGCTGGTACAACTCAATTGCACAAATGTTTGCAGATGGTAAAAAGAAAAGGGGCACAAAGAAAGCTGGAGGTGATGGAACGGAGGAAACGGTCTGCAACATAGACTTTAGCTCTTAAAGGGTGCTGAG